TTCAGAAAAAAAAAAAAAAAAAAAAAAAGGTCAATATTAATTACTTTGGTGTAAATTGAAACCACTGTTTACGTACGAGTAAATTCATGACCAGAAACATAAAAACTCAGCAAAATCTACCAAAAATCATGACAAGAACATTTACCCTCCTTAAAATGATGAAATCTGCTCCCATCCCTCACTATAATCTCTCTCTCAAACACCTTTGAGATAATCTTCGTCACCTCATGACAATCCTCACAAACTCTTAAATTCTTCACAACTCGAATGCAGTCCCCAACCCCGGTTACCAACAATCCATAAGCAATTGCCAGCCTCTCACTATGTTCTATTATCACGGTCTCTTTTTCTTCTTCCCCTATGTCATGCAAAACAGATGAAATGTTCGGAGTGTAGCCAGTTTTGGCTACTAGAGTTGTGATCAGTTCAAGCATTTTGTATATTTCCGCAACACGTTCATGGTCTCTATCACCTGCGACAAATTTGTGAACTTTCCCCTGAGCTTCTATCAAGCTCCAACCAACAGCTTTATTGGTGTTTCTCTCAGACATTAACCTCCGAACTCTAACAACTTCTTCCCATTTTCTTGCTTTAGCATATACACCGGATAATTGCACGTAATGCCCTCCATGGTTTGGATCCAATTGTATCAACTTCTTACCAATCTTTTCTCCCAATTCTATATGTCCATGAAGCTTGCAAGCACCAAGCACTGTTGCCCACAAAACGGGGTCTGGTGAAATTTTCATATTTTCAATCAAGTCGATGGCTTCATCAACAAGCCCAGAGCGACTCAAGAGATCAACCATGCATCCATAGTGCTCCATTTCAGGCTCAATCCCGTAACTCTCCCTCATTAACTTAAAATAATGCCTTCCCTCTCTTACCACCCCCGCTCGGCTGCAGCCACTCAAAACCCCAACGAAAGTCACGCTTGCAGGGGCGAATCCTTTGTCTATGAACTCTTCAAAGAGCTTGAGCGCTTCTTTAGCAAGTCCATGTGCAGCCAAACCGCAGATCATAACATTCCATGTCCAAACTTCTTTCCGGCGCATACTGTCGAACAACAGCTTAGACTCTTCAATGCATCCACATTTCGCGTACATGTCTATTAGTGACGTTCCAAGCGAAGCGGTAATTGGAAAATTCATCGAATACACGAGCGAATGAACTAACTTGCCACGATCAAGCAAGCCCAATTGTGCTGAAACCGAGAGAACCGACACCAATATTGCCTCATTCAACCTGAGTCCTGTATTTGTCACAGCCCGAAAGCAGTCCAACGCTTCTTCTAGGTACCCATTTTGAACATAACCCATCACCATCGTACTCCACGAAACAACATCTCTTTCGGGCATTTCATCAAACATATTCTCCGCAACACCAATCTGCCCATCTCTCACAAAGCAAGCCAACATAGTATTCCAAGTAACCAAATCCCTGACGTGGGAATTCTCCTCAAACACTCGTCTCGAACATTCCAGTCCACAAGAACCATAGTAGAAGTTAATCAAAGCGTTCCTAATGAAAACATCGCAACCAAAACCAAGTTTCACGACATGGGCATGAATCTGAGCTCCTTCAAACAAAGCCAAGGCCTTGCAACAAGCCTGAAACACGAAAGTGAAAGTGTGGTTGTTGGGTTTGGCGTCGATCTTTCGGAGAATCAACGAGTAGAGAGTGATGGTTTGGCGGGGGGATTCGCTCTTGGCGAAGCAGCGGATCATGTTATTGGTGACGAAAACAGAAGGGTGAGTGAAGGATCGGTAAATGGCGAGGGAATAGTGGAGTGCTAGGGCGGATTGAGATAGAGCGAGAGAAGCGAGAAGGTGGGACATGAGTTTGCCATTGTTGGTCTGGCCGAGGACGATGATTTGGGCGTGGGATTGTTTGATTTGGTCGAGAGAAGAAAGCTGCTGAGGAAGACACAGAAGAGGTTTTGGTGTGGGTTTTGGTTTGTAAGCGAACATAAAGAAGAAGAAGAAGAAATGCAAAACCATGCACAGCTAATAAATAACACTAGCTACAAGTGTATGAGCTATTTTTACGATGAAGAAGTCTTGAATCACCTTGCAAAGATCAGAACCATCAGGTTTCAAGTTGAGATGAATAAACAACATACAGAGAAAACGACAATATTATTGGAAACGACAACAAAATAATAAAGGGCACAAGTAAGATACCAGAGCAATCTGCAAAAGATCATAACATTTTTCAAAAAATAAAAAATAAAAAAAATAAAAGACCATACCGTGACACGAATTAAGACAAATAAAAAAAAAATGGTCAAACACGGCAGAAACCGGAAAACGACAACAAGAGAATAAAGGGAAGAAAAAACGACAAGAATAGCAGAAACGACACTAAAAGGAAATATTTCGTGTAGTTTTTGGAGTCATTGGAAGGCAGCAAGTATATGGAAATATTTTTATTTTAGTAATAACAGAGAAGCTTGTAGACAAATTAGTTAACTAATTATTATATGTGAATTCTGGTCAGGCACCAAAAAAAAGGAAAAAGAAAAAACTATTGGTGAAAACGACAGCAATCTTGGAAACGATACATCACAAGGAAAACGACACAAGAAAACAAAGGGCATGACAAGAGGAGATGACTACAAAGGAAGAAAAACACAAGACATCAGCTTGGAAACTGGAAAAGCCGAGCGAGCAGGGATATTTTTTAGTTTTCAGCCAGTGGCTCTTTGTTCCCCTAGTACGTACTTTTTGGTACACATTGTTTTTCATTTGACACTTGCTCTTATTCGCTTAAGAAATTTTCCTAAGGCCATATGAACGCGTTTATAATTCGTTCTAAAATAATTTTATTTTTTATATGAAAATAAAAATAAAAACGTTTTCAATCTCAGACAGAAATTATTTTTGAAAATATATTTAGTAGTTTTATTAAGAGATCATTATTTTCAGTATAAAAAAATCTATTAATGTCTCTCTCTCTTTCTCTCTGCTCGAGAGAGAGGAGAAAACGAAAACAAAAAATGAAAAACGACTAAAAATCATTTTTTATTTCTCTCTCATTTTACACTAAATCAAAAAATCATTTTTATTTTCGTTTTTTATTTTTATTGCACCAAACACGTTTTCATTTTTTCTCGAAAAACATGAAAAAAAAATGAGATCAATTCCAAACACGGTCAACATGTCAGTCAACGCTGTGTTTATCTCTCGCTTGTACTTCCTTTAATTTCACACATTTTATTTGAGCACACAATTAATTTACTTGGTGTTTGAATAAAAGTTTTGTACAGAAAGATATTTGGGAATCATAGCTGAAGCACTAAATTACTGGTAATATTTAGCTAATAGAGACGGTATGAGACTTTTGTTACATTTTCGTTTAACTAAATTACTGGGAACTGATTCATTTGCTATATTATACATTTTCGTGTAGTTTTTGGAGTCATTGGCAAGCAGCAAGTTGATGTTAGCAATATTAACAGAGAAGCTTATAGACAAAGTGAACTAATCATACATACATATATATATATATATATGAGTTTTAGTAGTTAAGTTTCCATCAGTGATTATCTCTAAGTATAGAAATTTAATAACGTAGAATGATAAAAGTCTAATTTCATTAATTATCATTAATTTTTTTGAATTAACTATTCAATTTATTATAACCGTCAGATTAATATCTTGTGGTTAAAATAATAATATTCATTGATGGTAGTTAAACAAGTCACTTGACACTTAGGATGTTTCTCACAAGAAATTTCCCCGGCGTCCAATCAAGAGAAATATATTGGAGGTGGAAGTTACAAAGTGTCATTCAATGTTGTATTTTTGTCGGATCACCTGTTATAGTTCTATAGTTTCACATGCTATCTAACTTAAACACACAATTTACTTGGTCGTATAAAAAAGAAAACGAATTTTTCTATAGATTGAAAAATGTTTTGGAATCAGCTGAATTTGATATATGGGCTGGAAAAATTGAGGTGGTGTTCTTGTGAAACTGTCTCCTTAGCATGAGGAGAAAGATTATAATTAGTGAACGTGTTACATTAATTATAATGTGGGAAATGATTCAGTTGATCTAGACATTTTCGCATAGTTTTTGGATTCATTGGCTAGCATGTATTGAAATGTCTTCGGAAAGATAAAATATAGGACGCTTCCTTTTAACGCGTTTCTGCTGCACATGTGGTCCTTGTAGATTGTCGAGTGGCTGGTGGGTTGGGGGGTTAACGCGTTTCTGCTGCACATGTGGTCCTTGTAGATTGTCGAGTGGCTGTTGGATTGGGGGTATGAAGATACTGATCCGCTTTTCCTCCAAGCCCAGAAAAAAGGGAAAAAAAAACACTGTACAATAGTTAAATTATCTTATGAAAATTTTACAACCAAGAAACAGTCAGTACCAATAGGAACTTAAAAACTTACTGTATTTTCTATAAAATCCTTTGTGAATTTCGAGCCCTCATGTATTATCTATGAAACATTTTAAAACCTGTTAATGAATCGGCCAGGAGCTCGTTATTGTTAGCCTGAGATTTCAAATCCGAAAGCAGAAACACCCATTTTTTTTTAAAGAAATTTGTGAAAATTCATATAACATTTCAGGTCGGGTTGGGCCATTCCTCCTCCTTTTAAGACCGGCCCGACCCGGTTTGGAATTTCTATATTCAAGCCGCTGGACTCAAGCCTGTAGGCTCAAACTTTGATATCTAAATCGGCCATTAGATTTAGTAGATCAAGAGTAATAATAAATGAGTTGTGTCTGTATGTGCAGTTAGAGTGTTGTTTGAGGGTTCGACATGCCACGAGTTCAATACGCCGGCATGAATTGCCGACACCTAGAAAAACAGTGCCTTAAAAACGAAAGCATGTGTACTTTTTGGAAGACAGCAAGTTTATCATGATAATTTGAAATTTACCTCGTTTCTCTTATCTTATGAAATTTCTCTGGGGTCCAACGTTAGATATTTGCATGTGGTCGTTAGAACATATTATTCAATGCTGTGTTTTTGTCTCACTTGTACTTACTTAATCTTGGTGGTCAACGGAAAAAAAATTTCTTTAGAAAGTAAATAATAAATAGTATTTTTAATGTTGTACCATAAGATATTTGGCAGTAAGCTGAGGTATAAAAGTAAAGTCTATTTGTTTTATAAGTTTGAATTATTGTTTAAATCTTTTACTTGTTATCTCTTACAAAATTTATAGCTCGTTTTATTGGAGGATTCGTTCTCTGATTCGAATCATGATTCATAGTTTGCTACAGTATTTTCTCTCATAAAAAACATACGTAGATCGAAAATAGTTCAAATATCATGATTCTAATCTATGAACTAAACGGGCTCATTTATGTTCAAATTATAATGAACAAAGCGGGCAAGTTAGTTGTTGCACTTTAATTTACAGTAACTCAAGTCTTTGCCATCTTGTGAGCTCATATTTTAGTTCCTTAAGCTATAGAAAAAAAAGTCGTGATTGTTTGGAAAAAAAACCTCTAAAATTTGAAAACGACATAATCCTAGAAAAACGCAATATCTTGATGAAACGTCAATGTATTTGTTATTATACCATTTTAGAGAAACCACATATCTATGGAAAACACTAATTGCAAGACGACGTGAAAGTGTGGTTATGGCGTCGAACTTGCGAACAATCGATGAGTACAAAGCGAGGGATTGGCGTGGAGATTGGCTCTTGGCTAAGCAGTGGATCATGTTAATGGTGACGAAAAAGGAAAGTGAAGGACAGGCAAATGGCGAGGCGGTAGTGAAGTGCTGGGGTGGATTGAGAGCTAGGAGCGAGAGAACAAAGAAGTCTTGACACAAGGTGTTGAAAACGACAACGACTCAATAACAATAAACACGTCAAAATGACCAAAAGAAGGCGAGCATTTCGCTAACCGACATCATTTCAATATAACATTTACATCCCTTAAACATTGATGCCTTGAGTAAATTTGGGCAAAGTGCCTTTAGAATGAAAAATTAACAGAATAATACATATCATAGACTTTACTGAACATTTTGCCATCTTTGACTAAGAGGACGTTTGGTTGGAGGATTCAAACCATGTGATTCGAACCATTTTCGATTTACGTAAATTTTTTGTGAGAAAAAATACTGTTGTGAACCACGAATCATGATTCGAATCAGGGAATGAATCCCTCTACTAAACATCCTCTAAATGATGAAGAAGCATTAATTAGAAGGTCTTTTAGACGTCAAGCTTACGAGCAGACCTCTATTTCTTCAGCACCATTCACCGTCAAAACCGTAAAACGCCCTTCCTTCACATGATCAAGGACCATTTGCTACTCGCCATAGGCCTTAATATTTTACTTAATTAGTCTCATTTTTCGACTTTCTTTCTTTCATGGACAAACCATAATATAAAGGTTTTCTTCAACTTAGATTAAACCAACAAAAGATTAGCATCAGTTTTGTTGCCCAGTATCCCTGTACGACAATTAGATTACATGAACATCATGTGTGTGTCTCTTGTTGTCTTTCAAAATTGGCTCTTATCTGCGTAGTATCTTCCTAAAATCTTGTGTAATTCTTGAGGTCTGCAAAGTAGGCTCAGAAACTTAGGGCTAGTTAAATGCTTGAGATTAATAAGAAATCTCTTTTATTCGCAGAAGTACCCTTCACTACGAAATGCCCTAATTCCTCCACGTCATCTGGTCCTGTGGTTGGGACTTCCAATTCCTCTTCATCAAAATCACTTTCAGCTAGTTTCTAATTAATTTTTAGAGTAAATTGCGCTGTTGCGCCCTTAATTTTTAGAGTTTTTACATATTAGACTCCGAATTTTCAATTTTGATAAATTGCACTATAAACTTAAAAATCAGTTGTAATTAAAATTTAATAGATGACGGCATTATCAAATAGATAATACGAGACATGAAATTTACAAACAATAATGTTTAAAAAAATAATTATCTTTATCTTCCACGTACAAATCTCTATCTTAAACCGTCAATTTAGTAACATTCGGTAACTATCAAACCTTAATTGTAGCTAAATTTAAAATTATTTAGAGTATAGTTTATCAAAATTAAAAGTTCGGGTGCATTGTGCAAAAACCACAAGAAGAATATGGTAACTATGGAGTGAGATCCTCTATCTCTTACCT